CTAACCGCACTTCATACAGCCAGTATTTATTCTTGATCAAAGTAGATTAGAGTTTAAAAATTGATAATCGCTGTTCGAAAGGTATAATAAAATATATTGTAGGTGATACGAAGTTCACCGGGTCAGCTAGTATAATATAATTATAACTTGATATATTCTTTTCACCTACACACTTTTTTTACACAGGGTACATAGAAAAATAAATAGTTGCTGCAACATGATACATTCCTGTGGTACTAGTATGTAAAAATCATGTTGCAGCACCATGATTTCAATGTTATAGCAACAATGTGCTTATGTGTGTTATAATAGCACACTAGGATTTGCAATGAAGATAAAAAAATGAAAAGTATTACTACAAGTATTATGACATTTGATCATACGGACATGTATCAGAGGACTAGTTAGTCTGGTGAAGATTACAACTAATTTTTTTGAGTTCCCAACGTTTACTCATGAAAATTTAATTCGTTTACTTGATATAATCAAAAAATAAAGTTAAAATTGAGAGTATAAATTTTTCTGTGTAAGATTGGAAGCAATTTATCCACATAAGGCTTCAAAATATTTAAAGTCGGACATATCTATGAAATTATAAATTGAATCTGTAAAAAACATAATAAAGAACTCCTTGTTACATAATTTAAGATGAAAGCAATCGTTCAAAATGATTTAGGATGGGTTGACATTTATTTGCAATATGTATAAAGTCAAGATTATATTTATGTATGCGGTAAAGGCACTTACAGTATTTTCCTTTGATATGTCATTCCCCTCATCTTAAAAGTTATATAAAGAAAAAAGTACCAGTATAGATACTTCGTTGTGGATAAGATTTGAATAAAAGTATCCGTGGCCGATAGACTGAGCAGGGGAATTTTGTTACTGCTCACGAATGCTTGCAGCCTTATTAAATATGCATAGATTCGCACCCCTATAACACCTTCTACCTCGTTCCATATTATAGGGGGTAATGCAAAGCTCTCAATGAATGATTACGCGAAACATATGTTTTGTGAATTGCGCTTGAATTTCTTTTTAGACGATGGATATATATTTCTGCCTTAAGCTATTAATGATAATATTTATATACAAATATAAAAATATGCGAACATATTCAGATATTTTTAAACTGTTTTTATAAATTATTAATACAAATATCTTTTAAAAGCTCTACAATTTGACTTAAAATTTCCATAATTTTTCAGATAGGATACTCATCGATAATTGAAGCAATAATTACTAGAAAGAATTTCATAGCAAGTCCTGCTTTAGACGAATAAAAGAGCATTAATAATTTAATTATCAACGTTTACACTCTTGTATTGAACTTCATCAAACATCTAACAAATAACATGTGAAAAACGCTACTTTGTAATAGTATATTGTATGACTAGGGATAAAATAAGACGATTTCAAATAGAGGTTGGAGTTGCCTGCCTGAGCGGAGCGAGGGCTAGCAACCACCCAAAGTCTGAAATCGTATTTCATCTCTCATCCAACCTCAGGGGAGAAGGAACCATTGGGCAAGGCATAGACCAAGCTTTGGCCAGTCATCATGCGAATCTTTCAAGCCTTGGAACGAGCCTAGGGCGAAGTTTGGCTGACCATTGGGCTGACAATGCTCCGAACCTTGGATGATGGCCATGTTTCAAGCCTCAGGAAACAAAAAGTCGAGCCTGGGGCCGGGTCTTTGGAAACCAAAATATTAACCTTGGGCCAAGCCTTGATAGATAATAAACGAAGACCGGTCTGAAGCTTTAGAAACAATATTATTAAGCTCAGGCCAAGCCTTACAATGCAACAAATGAAGACTGGTTCGAGGCCTAGAAAACAAAATTTTAAAGCTCGAGCCAAGTCTTAAAATACACCAAATTAACGCTGGTCCAAGCATTGGAAGCCTAAGATACTAAAACACCAACTCACTAGCCATCAAACAATCTTATACTAATTCATATAAAAACAGTTTGAAGTATTATAATAAAGCAAACTTCTAAATAGTATTTTAATGTAAAATATAAAGTAATATTGTTACGTAAGAAGTTAAGTAATAGTTAGTGTTAAGAATAATAACGTACGTAAAAAAAAATAAAAAAGTATCCCTGATTAAAAAAAAGTATTGAAAAGTATTGAAAAAGTATTGAATTACACACACTGTATATCTGTATATACATACAATATAGATATACAGTTGCATAGGTTCAATACTTTTTTTAATCAGGGATTGTTTTTATCTTTCAAAAATGCCTTGTTGTGTGAGCGCATCAGAACGAATCACAACGTTGCTCGGCACAGAGACAATAACCGGACTGATACGCTTATTGCGCCAATTCCTCGCACATCAACTTTGCAGCACTCGTTCCTGGTCGTAGGCACTGCATTTTGGAACTCTTTACAGTCAACAATTGCAACTTCAACATCTCTACCCTAGTAGATATAATCAAGTTTTCACTTGATTCTAACCAGTAACTGGCAAGTAACTAGCAAATCTAGCCGAACTGGCCAGTTACTAGCCGAAATCTCGATTTCATTTTTACTAGGGTAGCAGTGTTTAAAACCAGCTGCTATAATTATTTCATGGCTATAGAGCGAACTGAGGTCGCAAGTGCGTTGCCTTAGTTCTTTCCCGTGTGTGATATTTGTAAATCTAGAGACATTTACTTGTCAAACTTGTGCAAAGATAATTCTCTTGATTTCTGTTGTGATAACCTTGTGCAATTAAGATTTACTTTTTCTTTTGAATATGTTTTCTTTTCAGTATTAATTGACGTTGAGAGACTTTAAATATTATTAGTTTTATGACAACAAGTCTTGCCTGGTATATAAGATACCCTGTTCCTGTAATAAAGTGTATGTGGGACAAACAAAACAAAAGCTGAAAACAAGAATTCAATAACATAAGACTGACTGTAAACCGGAGAATATCATTAAGACTAATAGAACATCATTGGCAGCACATAATTTCGACACAGGTCACAGCTTCCAATTTGATAAAGTAGAAATATTGGACTATGAAAACAATTTTTTCAAGAGGAACGTGAGCGAAATGATACAGGCATTTGAACAGCAATGAGGCGTTGAACAGTGTGAACTTCAGAGATCTGACACCCAAGGATTGAATGTTTTATACAATGACATTATCTGGAACTTGAGAAACCGTGTTTGAAGTTCGGATTTTTTAATCTTTTGATAAATGTGATCGAAGATATTTTTATATTTTTATAATTATTTTTATATATTTTCATATTTTTATTATTGTAAAATTGTAAAGTAAACTTGTGATAGTCGTGTCAGTAGTTATTGACAAACGATTGAATGTAATATGATGGATCTCAAATGGCTCAACTTAATTTAAATATTGCCGGGAAAAGCTGCAGATAAAGTAGTAAATATGATTTTAATTGTCCCAACCATGATAATTAAAATGATCTAACCTATAAGTCAGTTGTAAACACACTTGACAGTTGAACGTTGTTGATTGTTTATTTTACTTAATTAATTTTTTAATTAGAATGGTATTTGAGAGAAATCTTAACAAGTTGTTAACATTGTAATTGAAAGAGATGTTTGAGATTATGAATATGCTGTTTTACTCTATTACATCTATTGACTTTGTAAAAATGAGACAAGGATGTTAACCATAAGAGTAACTATTGTTATTTTAATTCATTTTGTTGAACATGTCAATGATTTGTATCAACTAAAATTAATTTTTATTTTTAATTTGCCTGATGAAACTGAAATAAATCAGCGAAACGTTGCAATCCCTATAATTTAACATCTTCATTTATTGTCCAAATTCCCAAGAACTAACCATTTGAATATTTTTAAAATATGGACGAGAACTTAAATATTATTACTTTTGTTAAACTTATTTCATATTTTGTTCATTGTTAGATTTCATATGCTATTTTTACAAAGTACTCTGTACATATCCTTTGTATTATCTTTAGGCCATTAGAGGACTTTATCCTACGGCCTTGTCAATAAATTACAATTACAATTAATTACAAATTGTCCTCTGTTACGCTATTTTGTACCAAAAAGATAAGTACTTACAGTAGTCAGTACTTTTAATGTACGGTTTTGACTACCATATTGGTGAGTAATAAACTCTGAAAGTTAATTTTTCGTTGAAGCTATATTGAACTTTTAGGATAAATTAACTTAAAAAATTTTTAATTAATCATCAATTGACCTTCAATCACTATAAATACAAGTAACACTAAAGTTAACACTGAAATTATCTCTAATGACAAATTCTACGAATAAAAAAATAATTGTTTATGCGCGGAAGGTTCCGGCAAAAAAAAATTATTATAAATATTAGTGCAATTTGCAAGTGGTCTAGACCAAACAGCCAATTATAATTGTAAATATAGTAAATTTACAATTGAATTAAATATATAAACAACCAACTGGTCAGATAAAAACAAAAATACTGTACTAAAGTTAAGATTTCGAATATTTTTCACCTATACGTCCAGCACCACTATACAGTAAATGGACTTCTTTAGGAATCATCTCAGGCAATATTATTCTTATGGCTTTAATATAGTCCAAACAATCATCAGTAATGATTTCGAAGAACATGGTTTTCTGAAATATTCAATAATTTGATATGAATAAATTTTCTGATAACTGATGTAAAAAAATACATACAATAGCATTGCGGTTTTCAAGATTTGTGTTAAAATAGTTGGGCCCTTTCAGACATATTTCAAGAAAATTATTAAATTTTTTTTATCGAAAGATAAATACATCGATAATTCACCCCCACACATCGAAATTTCAGATCAATTTATCGCACCGTATTTGAGTAATCAATTTTCGAAATTGCATCATTCACACGCAGAGGTATAGAGAGATGGTAAAGTTAGTATGAAATCTTCCGTACCACTCGAGTGATGCAAATAATTCCATACTAACTTTACCATCTCTCTATACCTCTGCGTGTAGATAATGCAATTTCGAAAATTAATTACTCAAAAACGGTGTGGTAAATTGATCTGAAATTTTGGTGGTGAATTATTAATATATTATATATTTCAATAAAAAAAAATTTCATAATTTTTTTGAAACATGTCTGAAAGGGCCCAACTACCTTTATATGAATATCAAATGTTAAAAAGTGATTTGAATCGTTGATAGAGGAAACTTTATTCCAAGCTTCTTCCTCTACGATTCGTCTACCTTTCGGCTTTATGGTGGAGCAGGATTCAAATTTTTACCGTCACTCCGGCGTTTAACATCATATAAAATACTTTTTTGGTACTGGTTAGTTTTTTTGTCGTTAACTCTATGTATACATCAATGTAGTTTGCTAGAATCCCTAAGTACGAAATTTAAAGATAATAATTATCGAATTAATAAATTATCATTCAGACTTTATTATAATTATCTATTTTATTTTCATCTTTTTACTGTGCTTTGGAGACATTTTCTAGTAAACACGTTTACGTCAGTATGACGTCAAAATGACATTGGACTATATCAGGATTTACGTATGATATAAGTCAAGAATAAGTTATATGTGACTCATTATTTTACTCTTCCTGACGTAAAAATATGACGTAGTCATAACGTCACTATTATGTCTCAATGACATTTATTTCACAAAAATAAAAAGACTGCAATTTCGAAATCAATTATAGCATTGGGGACTACCCGGGAAAAAATCATCATGCATGAACATGTACGATCAGGCGTTAATGTCATGCATGATCATGCATGTATATTTGCCAGACATGAGCTTGTATGGTCATGCATGACCAAGCATCATCAGAACTAATCAGTCATGATCATACTTTTCCATGCCTGGCAAACGCGGGAAAAATGACCATGCCTGATCAGTCATGAGCAGGTATGATCAGACGTGAACAGGTATGTTCATGTCTGACTGAATCAGGTCCATAAAAAAAAAAAATGGTGCCTAGAGGGGGATTCGAACCGTAGACGTCTCGCTCTCTAGACTCATCCTTTACCTGCTGACCCAACGGCTCCTCTTGACTTTGGAACATCTTTCAAACTACTTTAAGTAATTTAAATTTTATACATAACTTATAGTTAACGGAGTTCTATACCTAATTTATTAATTATTAATAATTATTTAATAATAATTTATTTGGGACGGCTGTGTATTTTTTTCGCTCCATTAACATATCGTTCTAAGTACAGAAAAAAAAAATTTCTTCAAGTTTAATTCCGTAATTGTAATTTTATTTTCTTCTTTTAATTTTGAAGTTTTTTTATTTAAAATCGATAGGAAACTTAAAATTGTTTGTGTGTTCTACAATTTAGCAGCATTTGATACTACCGCAATGGACCAAAGCGTAGCTTGATAACAAACATCTTGAAAGGACTTATCGCCTATCGATATCAACTGGTATATTTTGGTATTTGCACGCTATCAAAATTTTACAAGATAATTTTGTTTTTCATGTATTCAATGGAACACATTAAAAATTTTGCGTCATTGCAATGATTAAACAAAATGATTTGATATGATTAAAAATGATTAATTTTTTAATCCTGTCAAATCATATAAATCATTTCAAATCATATCTCTTATGGGCATTTAACATTGTGAAATCATTTTGTTTAATAAGGTGTTAAAAAATTTGTATGTTGAAATTTTACATTATTATGTGTTAATTTAACACTTATTTGTGTCAATTCTATTGAATCAACACGAAAAGGTGTTAAACATTTAACATAAAAATTTTTAACACTAAATTTTTTTGACGAAATGACGCAAAATTTTATACTGTGAATGGTTGCTGGGACAGAAAAACTGAACTCAACTTTTTTGAAGAAAAATGAATTATGTGCGAAGAAAAAATATCAGTATATCAAATAAAACATTTTACAAAAGAATTTGAGAAATTGTATTATATAACTATATAAATATTTTTTTTGTGCGCTTGAAAGTAAAATCATTGAAAGAAGTTCTTCAGTTCAAATGATTATTTGATAAATAATTGTTTAAAAATCATCGTTTTGGCATGGAAAATCAAAAAGTTTATGCTTAAGCTGAAATTTTTTATGAAAGTTGTACATTTAAAATTTATAAGGGGATAAAAACTGATACGTCATACGGAACAAATTAATTTTCAAAATAGAACTGCAGTCTATAGTTCGATAAAATTTTCTCTCCAGACTGAAAATAACATTTAAGAAGGCTAATCATGCATAAACAGGTCTTATCAGGCCTAAACATATTTATTAATTCAAGCATAATATACACCCAGGTCTGATCAGGCCTGAGCGTATTTAACACTTCAGACATGAACAGTCATGAACAGACATGGACAGGTATGATCAGGCCTGAGCGTATTTAACGCTTCAGACATGAACAGGCACGATCAAATCTAATTTCAGGCCTGATCATACTCGAACAGGCATGGTAAGGTCTGATCATTTTCTTCCGGGAAATATTCATGACAGATCATGCATGACCAAGCATAATCAGAACTAAGCAGTCATGATCATGCTTTTCCA